GATTAGTAACATTCTATGTTGCCATATGTTCATTATGAACATTATGTTCAGACATATGCCATTTTATTTTTATGAATTATTTATCGTCATTTGAATACGCATTCGGCGCTGGATTATCCCAGCACTACTATAAATGATTGTGAAATGCAACCTACGAAATTTCAAGCGTAAGTGGACGCCCCTGGTGCTCTACTTATGTCAAATTCGTTAACATATTGTTCAATGATATCCATTAGATCATATTCATATAATTACGTATCTCAATTTGGACTGCGTACGTACTGTACGTATCAAAAATTTGATCAATGATGTTATACGTATTTAGAAATTGAATAATTCAAAATTTATACTGGAAATTTTGAATATTGTGATTTTGAAACGGATATATCGTGCTGCAAAGTAATTTATTGATTGAAATATCATCTAATAATTTCTAACTACCGGAAATAGAATCCTTGGTCTTGGATCAAACTTTGCACATCTTTTTTCGAGTAGCCTTATTTTAGGTTGTGTTTTAGCTGTGAGAACCACTTACCCCAAATCCACCCTTTTACAACGTAGGTACGTTTAAAATCAACAATATTATATATCGATATTATATCGATATCGATATATTACGTACACATCATTAGATTCACAGCGTTGATCATTAAACACGTTTAATCATATTTCTGGGAAAAGATATAAATACCAGATTTTATTTATAGCACTTTAATTATGACTGTGCGAAGTTTTTTGCTATTTGTAGCATCAAGTCCAATTGCGTAATTGTAAAGTGCACTTCCGAACGAAAACTATACGCCAAGATCATTTTAACAAGATACAGTTAGTGATGTGTGACGCAACTGATGAGACCTGACGAAACCATGACGCAACCTGACGAAACCATATGTTGCGTCTGACGCATGACGCATGACGCAACTCAAACATATGTTTTTAAGGGTCACGTGAGCAGTTGCGTCAGGTCACGTGAGTGCGTCACACATCACTAGATACAGTATCTGGGTTTATTATACCTTTACGCATTACTTACACTACTTTCTTTGGAATACTAAAAAAGCACTGAGGCGCTTTGAAATTCATCATACAAAGCCAAAAGTCAAAAGGCGTACTGAAGCCCAAAGTTTTACCGAAAATCGAAAGTCTTATCGAAAGTTCTACCAAAAATCAGAAGCATTATCGAAGCAAGACTAAGGTCAATGGCTTACCTGTTGCCTGCTATCACACGATTTACAAACATAATGCAGGCCACATGCAGGCTACATAGTAAATAGATGGCCGGAGTTTTATAAAAATCTAATCCTTAACTTTTGAACTAATAAACATGTTCAAATAAAATTTATTTGCCGAAGCTCTCTTAACGTACGCTTTAAATTTATGAGAAAACCAGGGCAATGAATTATTATGTAATCGCAGTAAATCGCATGATAGCAGACATTCAGGTAAGCCATGACATATTTCGATTAGTGAGATAAATTTCTAACATTAGGCCTCTTGCAGTTGATTCTTCGGTTAACATCACTTTCTAGGACTTGGGGGAATGAAACGAATATATAAAATGAACATACCATTTTTAAAGTAGCGAATCTATTATTACGAATTAACTTCAAGTTAAAATTTAATTTAGAGATTCTAATCGAATTACTAATTAGACCAAACAATGGTTTGCATTACACTTTTCTCACAAGAGAGGAGCAAGAAAACGAAAATTATATATAATATTCCTTTGACAATAAGCATCCCTATACATTTTTTACGACCAAAATTCTCGTGATCCAGTGATCGAATCTACATATTTTTGAAACAGATTCGATCACTAGATCACGAGAATTTAGACTATAATTTATTTTCAGAGTAGAGATTTGAACCAGACATCTAAATAATAACTTTTCGAAAATATCTGTTATTTTTGCTTATACGATTAGGGGAGCTATCTAGCATTTCAATTGTTTTTTTGCTTTCGAATAGCCTAATTTTATCTGCTTTAAATTTATTATTAGCAACTCTAATATTAACAATACTTACATGAACAACTATAATATATTTATTTTTCTCTTCAATTACAAATTTACCAGAAAAAATAATATATCCTTGGGTAAGAATTTTAAGCGAGGTTTATTGTATAAATAAAAATATTTTCTTTTAACAAATTAAAAACATCTTTATCAGATTAATAATTGCTAAACCTTGTATATGAGAAGTTCTCTCCTTCTTTGCAACAATCAAAATGAACAAAAAAATATATGAAGATATTTTGGTAAGAGATATAATAATGAAAAATAATTTTAAATTTATGATATAGTTAAAAAAAAAAATCAGTATATATTTTTCACAATCTTATGAACTTTAAATACTTCTTATTAACTTATTTACCAAGTAAATAATACACATTATTACCACAACATATTTATATATAATGAAACATATCACAAATTAAAATCAAAAATCAATTTACAGAATTGGTTTTATAATAAATAACTATATATAAGATTTAGTCAGTATAATAAAAAAAACTTTACTACAGTTAATTCACATATGATAAATCATTGTTATTATTTATCAAAATAAAAAAAGTAAATAATTTGCAAATATTTATCTAAAAATATACTAAGAGCTATTTTTTTTTTATCTATAAATACAATATGAATTCAATAAAAAATTTTTGGAAGTATAGCACCAAAACTGATATATAATACTCAAGTACAAGCACAAGTACTATATAAAAATGCTAGAGTAAACAATTTTTTTTAAATAAAATAAAAAATGTGGTGGCTCATAAGAATACACTAAAACCTCAATCAACAAACTGAAATTTGTAAGTTTAAACAAATTTAGAAATAACCAGTAAGTACCCAAAAATAAATATCAAATAAAATGTTAATATCATTAAAAATTGATTCTCTCACTTTTAATTTCTCCTGTATTTTTAAATTCTATAAAAGCAAGATGTTTAATGAAAAATGTTTGTATAATGTAATAAGACTGTTTGAAGTTGATTCTTTGGTTAATATCACCTCTTACTCTTGGTTGAAGCCTTTCTCAAAAAATAAACAACCAATCAAAATGCTAGATAACTCTCACCAATTACTTAATTTACATTAACTAATAAAATTGGTCTATATTTGTTTATTTTTATATATTTCATTTTACTCAAGTGATGTTAACCAAAGAATCAACTTTAAATGGCCTAAGCCTATTTGAAATTAATTTTTGATTAATATCATCTTCCTCTCTCCCTTCAATAGTCCTCAGTAAAATAAAATATAAAAAAAATATAAAATATAAAAAAAAATTAAATATTAAAATATAAAAAAAATAAAAATAAAAATAAAGATGGCTGATATTCATATCTTGTTATTTGTATCTAGAGATGTGCTGCGTATAGTACAGTATGCAAAAAAGTTTTTAGAATATTCTAGAACAAATCATAAAAGTATCTCTATCTCAAAATTTTGACTATATAACTGTCTTTCGCACTCTAACAAGAATTGTTTCTTGCAAAATGTTACATATAACTTATTTATAAATGCCACATGTATTGTGTATATTACAAATGTAATACATACTATACAACTATACGTATTGTACGTACTGTATGTACTGTATGCTAAAAAATTCGGGTATCATATAAATGGTACATCACTATTTGGACACCTGTAGATCAAATTTTCTTCAACTTTGAGCAAAGATATCTCGACAACCACCAAGACAAATTTGATAATTTTTTTTATTTGAATTTTACAACTTTGTAGAATTAAAATAAAAAAAAATTCAACAATTTTGACTTGGTGGTTGTTGAGATATCTTTGCTCAAAATTAAAGAAAAATTTTGGCTTCTTTTATTTTGATAGATTTTTGAGTTTTTTAAAACTTTGAACGATGATATCTCAACAATCACCAAGCCAAATTTGATGAATTTTTTTATTTGAATTCTACAAAGCTGTAAAATTCAAATAAAAAAAATTCATCAAATTTGGCTTGATGGTTGTCGAGATATCTTTGCTAAAAGTTTTAAAAAACCCAAAATATCTATCAAAATAAAAGCTGCACCAAAATTTTTCTTTAACTTTGAGTGAAGATATCTCGACAACTACCAAGCGACTTGGTGGCTGTCAAGATATCATCACTCAAAGTTGAAGAAAAATTTTGGCACAGCTTTTATTTTGATAGACGTTTTGAGTTTTTTAAAACTTTGAGCAAAGATATCTCAACAACCAACAAGCCAAATTTGATGAATTTTTTGTTTGAATTCTACAAGGTTGTAGAATTCA